ACACACACACACACACACACACACACACACTAAATAAATGTTAAAAAAAATTAAAAAAAAAGACTAATAGGTGTTAATGAAAAAGAAGGAGCCAACACCAATATCATAAATATTTGCAGAAGTAATAGCAGAAAACTTCGCAAGTATGGGGAAATAATCTGCAGTTAGATAATCAAGGCAAATAGAATTTCAAATAAAATGAGCCAAAATAAATCTACACCCAGACACATAATAATCAATATCCCAGAAATTCAGCACATAAACTACATACAAAAAGCTGCTAGAGAAAAGAAAAAGATCACATTTAAAGGAAAGCCCATCAGAATCACAGCAGATTTCTCAACACAAGCCATTAAGTCAAGAAGAGCATGGAGCGAAGTATATTAAGACCTATAAGAAAACAAATTCCAACCCACAACAACAGAAAGAAACCATCAAACAAGGCAAACAATTAAACACAGAAAAAGTAGGGAACCAACAGCAGAAAAATAACATGACAAACATAAGCCAATACATGTCAATTACAACCATCAATTTAAATGGACTCTATTCACCAATTAAAAGAAATAGATTGACAGTGGAACAAGAAATGTAATCCAACAATATGCTGTATCAAGAAACACATTTAACCTAAAAGAAATTCATAAGCTGAAAGTCAAAGAATAGAAAACAATGTTACATGAGCCAGAAACAGAGAAAAAGGCAGGGGTAGCTTTTCTGTTCACAGACAATCTGAACTTCAAGCCAAGAATGATCAAACCAGATAAAGACAGACATTTCTGAAATTTTAGGGGAAAACTTTAAGAGGAAGAGATAAAAGTCATAAATATGTATGCACCAAATATAGGAGCACCGAACTATATAAGACAAATTTTAAAAGACATGAAAAATCTAATAACCAATAACACAATCTTAACAGGAGATCTTAACACTCCATTATCTCAAAAAGATAGATCAAGTAGACAGAAGGTACAAGACAAAGATGTCCACCATTACCACTCTTTTCAACATGGTTATGGAAAAATTAGCCAGAGCCATTAGATAAGAAAAATAAAAGGATAAGAATAGGAAAGGAAGAAGTTAAACTATCATTATTCACAGACAACATGATACTCTACATGGAAGATCCAAAAAATTCCACCAAGAATCTCCTAGAATTAATAAACAAATTCAGTAGCATAGCAGAATACAAAGTCAACACCCAAACTCACTGAGAGAGAAATTAGAAAAATACCCTTCATAATAGCATCCAAAAAAATGAAATACTTAGGAATTAGCCTAACAATGAAAGTAAAAAAACCTATACGTGAAGATTACAATACTGGGAAAAAAGAGATCAAAGAGGATTTCAGAAAATGGAAAGATATTCCTTGGTCCTCAAGAGCAAAAACCAACATTGTGAAAATGACCATACTCCCGAAATTGTTATACAGATTTAATGCAACCCCTATCAAAACACCATCAACATACTTCACAGATCTAGAGAAAACATACCTAAAGTTCACTTGGAACCAGAAAAGACCTAGAATAGTAAATGTAATTCTGACCAACAAAGGCAAGGCAGGAGGCATTACAATCCCTGACTTGAAATTATACTACAAAGCTACTGTGATAAAATCAGCATGGTCCCAGAAAAAAAACAAAACAGACCTGAGGATCAATGGAACAGATTAAAAGATGTAGACATAACTATAAACACACTCAGTCACCTGATCTTTGACAAAGGAGTCAAACATGTTCACTGGAAGAAAGATAGTCTCTTGAATAAATGGTGCTGGAGAAACTGGCTTTCCAGATGCTTAAAACTAAAACTTGACCCAGGTCTATCACAATGCACTAAACCAAAGTAAAAATGTTTGGGCTCCTGAGATGGCTCAGTGGTCTAAAGCACCTACTTGGAACAGGCTTGGCAAAGCACAGGGACCGTGGTTCAATCCCCCAGCACCACATGCCAGCCAGCCCCGCCTCTTGGTGGGCTGAGCTGGCCACCCCCTCCCACATAAATAAATAAATAAATAAATAAATAAATAAATTTTAAAAAATAAAGTAAAAATGTTTTATAGATCTAAACATTAAAACAGAAACACGTGGGGCCAGGGATATAGCTCAGTAGCATAAAGCAACTTCCTGGAAAGTACAAGGTTCTGAGTTTGATCCTCAATACCACAAACAAACAAACAAACAAACAAACACAAAACAGAAAGACTAAACCCAGAAAAGAAATTAGGTAGAAATCTTGAAGACATAGTATAGGCAGAGAATTCATGAACAAAAAATAAACTGAACAGGAAATTCTTCAAAGAATCAACAACTGGGTTTCACCTTATTGAGACGTTTCTGCATGTCAAAAGAAATCACCAACAGCATGAAAAGACATCCCACAAACTGAGAAAAAAATCTTAATCAACAATCACTCAGGGGCGCAGGGCGATATCTCAGTAGAATAAGTGCTTGCCTGGTGAGCGCAGGGTCCTGAGTTGAATCCCCAGTACCGCAAGAAGAAAAAAAAAATCACTCAGACAAAGGAGTTCTACTTAGAATAGATACAGGACTAAAGAAAAATCAGGCCCCCCAATTTCAAAGACCCAGTCCAAAAATGGGCATCTGAGATGAATACCCTCCTTAGAGGAAGAAATTTAAATGGTAAATAAGTATGTGAAAAAATGTTCCACGGCACTGGTCATTCAAGAAATATAAATTAAAACAACTCTGAGATACCATCTCACTCCAGAAAAAATGACTATCATAAAGAAATCAACTAATGAATTCTAGAGAGGCTGTGGGGAAAAGGGAACTCTTCTCCATTGTTGGTGGGAGTGTAGACTGCTCCAGTCACTGTGGAAAGCAGTACGGACACTCTTCAAAAACCTCGGATTGGAAGTCCCAGTTACGTCAAGCCAACTATTCCTGTTCTGAGTATTTTTTTCAGAAGAACTAAGAACATCGTATCACAGTGATAGAGGTGCACTCGTGTTTATAGCAGCACAATTTGTCATAGTTAAATCTTGAAAACAACGCAAATGCCCACCACCTGAGGAACGGACAAAAAGATGTGGTATTTTTATACAATGGAGTATTACTCAGCTATAAAGAAAGAAAATCCTGAGGCTTTCATAGGTAAGTGGATGCAACTAGAGGCTAAACTCATAAGCGAAATAAATCGACCCACATGTGTAAACACTGCATTGTCTCCCTAATGCAAGAACCTGCAAGAGTAAGTAATAACTGAAAGGTACAACAGATGTAGTAAAAAGGAAAGTAGCCGGACATAAGGAATAAACAATTCGAATGAGGGAAAGGAGAAAAGATAGGAAAAAAGGAAGGGGAAAATCATGCAAGTATGTATTCAGGATAGCAGAGACGACTGTCCTCATAATTTCCATCAGTTCTTTGAAAGTAAAAGTTAATGTTCAACGTTTTCACTTTGACTAACTCTATATGCTAATATCTGTAATCTGAGCAACTACACTGAGGCCAGCAGCGTGCAACGCAACCACCACAGCTGAAAACCTCTCACCGTGCTCTTCTAAATGTGTACCATTTCTAATGTCTTAGCAATTATTTTTATACTCCTTTAAAAAAAGTATTTATTTATTTGGTACAGGGTCATGTTATGCAGTTCAAACTCATAGGGATCTTTCTGTCACAGCCTCCCCAACCCTGGGATTACAGGCATGCATCACCACGCCTGGTTTTGTGGCTGGCACCAGGGCACCAGGGGATCAAACTTAGGTCCATGAACTTGCCAGGCAGGTGCTTAGACTGCCCTAACTCCCCAACTCCATATGTATTTTTGTATGTTACTCTGTTTCTTTTCTTTTCTTTTTTTCTTTGTTTCTCCCCCCTCCCCCCAACCGGGGATTGAACTCAGGCCCTTGTGCTTGCCAGGGAAGCACTTAGTCTACTAAGCCATCTCCATTAGAATGGACCTGTTACTCTCTGTCTGTCTGTCTGTCTGTCTGTCTGTCTGTCTGTCTGTCTGTCTTTCTTTCTTTCTTTTTTCCGCTGAGGCATTTTATTTGTATGTTTTACATCCTTAGAAAAAGAATCCCAGGATTTTTCCTCCTGTGTGTTTTCGTCGCGCTTCTTCATGATCCAAGATGCCAGCTGAGGTCGTCAATACAGTGAAACCAAACTGACGGGATGGGAGCAGGTTATTCTGCCATTTTTCCAGGTCTTTCAGCTGCACATCAAACCTGGGGCTGATCACACCACACTTGTTTAGCCTTCCTGTGAGGTTGACACCAATTTTTCCAGCCCTGTGATCATCAGTGATTTCAGGTTCACCACTGTAACCACGCTTCACCATCACAGTTAGAAACCCGACAGTGACTTGGGAGCGCGGCCTGAGGAGGACCTGGCGTTGCCTCTTTTCGGCATTGTGGATGCTCCTGAGAGCATCGGCCAGGACATTCACGCACACCATTGTGGCGGCACGGGAAGATGGGGGAAAGAGCCTGTTCCTCTGTTTCTGTCTTTGCTTCTATTTTTGTTTTTACTCTTCACAGGAAAAAAGAAACAAATACAGTATACCGACTAGTAAATGAAGACCTGTTCTATGCTGGGATAAAATATTTACAAGCCATATATCTGATAAGAGATTTGTACATAAAATGACTAAAGAATTCTCAAAACTCAATAACAAAAACAGGGGCTGGCCAAATAGCTCAGCAGATTAAAGTGCCTGCTTAGGCACACGCAGGGGCTGGCAGTTCGATGCCCTGGCCTGCTGCGCTGGCCTCGCCCCCGGGGCCTGCTGCGATGGCGATTGAGACTGCATGTGGCAGCACACGCCTAGAAGCCAGCACTCAGGAGGCTGCGAACAGGAAGATCACTAGGAGTCTGGTCTACACGTGAGACCCCGTATAGGCTGTACACCCTGTCCTAAGCATACACACAACACACACACACACACACACACACACACACACACACACGAAAAGTTCAATTTTTAAAAAAAGGCTTTGAACAACTATGAAGAATGTACATAGGAAAATGCTCAAGATCATTAATAATTAGGAATGCAAATTAAATTATAATGAGAAACAATCACGCATCTCTTAAAATGGCTAAAATTTAAAAGTTTGACAAAATAGAATGAAAAATGCTACAATCATGTTCAGAAGTAGGTTTCTTAAAACAGCCAACCATTTAACTTCTAGGTACTTACTAAGAGAAATAAAAGCATTTTTTATACAAAGATTTAAATACAAGTGTTCATAGAAGTTTTATTTTTAATAATAATAAAAAAATTGGGCTGCATTGTAGCTCAATGGTAGAGTACTTGCCTAACATGTGCAAGGCCTACATCTCAAAGAACAAAACAAATAGATAACCCAAATGTTCAACAAATGGATATATAAATATACATGGAATTGAGCTACAACATGGGTGAATCTTGAAATCCTCCAAGTAAAAGCAGCAACCCCTCTTCCCAAAAAAGATCACATACTCTATGATCCCATTTTTTTGTAATATAATTCCATGTTTATTGACACAAGAATTGAAAGTATCATGAAATCAAGAGGTTATAAAATGATATGTATAGTATGATTTCATTTTAGTAAAAAAGATATAGCTAAGAGAATCTGGATGATTCATTCACCAGTAAGATCACTGAATTTTTGTTAATTTAATTTTTTATTTTAATAATTTTTATGTTTTGATTGACATAATATTTGTACTTTTTAATGAAGTATAATGTGATGTTTTCATTTATGCATTCATTGGGTGAAATGATTCAATTTCTTTTTCTTTCTTTTCTTTTTTTTTTGTATTATAGGGAAGGGCCTACAGCGTGTTCAGGTTCTCACTACTAGATTTGGCTCGTAGTGCTCCGCCTGTTTACAGCCTCTCAAGAGCTGGGATTATGGGTGTACACCACCATGTCCAATCTCAATTGCTGTCTCAGCACTCCCCGGGGGCGGGGCTGGCATGGCAGGCCCAAGGATTGAACCCTCGGCCCCTGCACCTTCTTGCAGGTGCTTTAATCCACTGAGCTATTCGGCTGGCCATCAATTTCTATCAAATTCTACAAACTACAATAACAGACAACAGATCAATGTTGGTGACGTGGGAGTTAGGAGGAGGAAAGGTGGAGATACGCCAACTGGGCAGGGAAAAGCTTTTGGGGGTATATTCATAGTCCTGAATGTGATGATGGTTTCCTGGGTAAATACACATGTCAAAATTTGTCAAATTACTTTAATATGTGCAGATTGTTGTTTACCATTTTTTTTCAGCGATGGCTTTTAAATTAGAGGAAGTGTGAAGAGTGAGGAAAACCAGGAACGAGGCCTAGGTGGGGTTGGCACTTACTACCCCTGTCACCCTCACTTTGGCAGTACTCTATGATCCATTTCATTTTTAGTGAATTAACTTCTCATCTTGCCAACCAAAGGTCAGAAATGAGAAACCTCTGGGAAAGGGAGAAAGAAAAAGGCTAATTTTTTTCTAAACTCCCAAACCCTAATTCTTACCATTAGTCCCACTGTCTTTGGACATCTGGAGCCCTTTTAACACTTTGTGCTTGAGAAGTTACCCGTTCCACTTACTAGGGCCTTCTACATCCAGAGGCTGGCCTGCCACAGCAGAGATGAGCAAGGACGACTGTGTCATTCTAGCCTAAAAGGTAGGCTCCTAACGGTGCCTACAGCAGCTATGGCTTTGGAATTCTGACTGCAGTCACCTCAGCTGCATGACTCTTTCCATCCCAGGTTCCCAGGACAGCCCAGGCTTCCTAGGTTTACCCCGCCGCAGGTCATAGGTTATACCCATTAGGGTTCACTTTAAAATTGGTTCCCTATGGATCTTCTCTGAGAAGCAATGAAAAAATTTTATTTGAATACCATCAGTGTGAATTATATACTTAATTAACCTTAATGAGTCAGCATATGAACTGCTTATACTAAGTGACGAAGCAAAATTTAGTTCATGAGCTGTAATGTGTGCGCTGAGTCTGCCCCACAGACTCATGCAGTGAAGCTGTTGCAGACGCTGAGGGTTAAACGGTTGAAATGAGCTGCCATGAGTGAACCATTCCTTTAAATAAACCCTACCAATGAATTCCATATATTTGTGTATTTAGTTTTTCCTCCCTAGCCTTTTCATCTTTTCAGAGTATTTGATTTTTTTAATGAAAAAACCTCCTTGCCTGATGTGTCTTCTTACCCTGTCACTGTATGTGTATTTAATTATTTGGCAACCGTAGAATTGGTACCAACAGCTTCAGACATGAACTGTGGGTCAGGGGCCCACATACACAATACAATTGGTTACACTGTAATACAACTAGAATTTAAAACCAAAAATTGAGAGCTGGGGAGATAGCTCAGTAGAATAAGCGCTTACCTGGCAAGCGTAGGGTCCTGAGTTCAATCCCCAGTACCGCAAAATAAAAACACCAAAAATTTTGTAAAAAGAATTTAAAAACTGTTAGGTCAAGGATGAAAATGTAGCAACTGCAGGTGGAATAGAACAAGACCGTCCTGTACCACTAGATGCCACCTCATTTTGCTTGTATCCTAGCCTTCTGGAAGCAAGACTCTTCTCCTTACCCTATCAGCTTTCTCCCTTTGTATGACCCTTTCTTATCTACAGCTAATATAGGTTCAACGTGAGTGATCTGTGCTTTGTTTCCCCAACATTTCCATTACAGACCTCCGGCTCTGCCAGGCCCCTCAGCCGTGTCCCAGCTACTGTCTACCTGGCTTTCTTTGGTTGAGTAGGAACTTGCTAACCTTAGGATCTTGGTCTTTGTTTCTAGTTATCAACTGTAATGGCTCAATAAAACTCCTTTCAACGGGACCCCTCGATTTCGAGAGTTTTGCACTTCCAAATTAGAATTTTTAAAACAGACACATCTGTGTAAATTTATAAATGAGAGGTGAGTAGATTTCAGTAGGTCAAAAATTATGAGCTACGTTGAAAACAGTACACTAATAAACTTTAAAATCTTGAAAAATACTAATTTTTCAAAAAAATTTAAAACAACATTTGAGTATTGAATTACAGTCCTTTTGTGGCTATCAGACTGTTTGTTATAATTTTAGTTCGTGGAAATGCTCCAGGATTGCTTCAGGTGTGCTAACCCAGCTGTGTGATTCCTAGTGCTAAAAATAGGCTTTTTGTCTGTGAAACTTCAAATCTTCAGCTTTCTGTTGGCAGATGACTCGTGAACAGGAGATCCATGGGAACCACAAGAAAAATTCAGGAGGAGAAAAGGCGAAATTGAGGCATTTCTGGACACAATAATGATCACTGGTAAATCAAAAGTTTGTTGCATCTGAGTGGTTATCATGGGGCTCTGCCTGGATTGAATAAGGATTTTTTTTTTCTCAGAATGCCTTCAGGGCAGGTTTGGCTGGCTTGAGTTGTGGGGATCGAACCACAGCAACCTGAGCCTGACTGCTTTGTTGAAGCAGCTACTTAAAGAACCGAGCTAAGGTGCAGGCCCCCAAAATGGAATAAGGATTTTTTTTTTTTTTTTTTGCTACCTGGATTGAATCTTTTATGAAAAAATGGCATGTTTTGGTCCACAGTTACCCTTCCTGATCTGTGAGAAGAAGCTCTTTCCTTTTCAATTTTGTCAATGTGCTTCTGAAGTGTGTGTGCTGCCGCCCTTTCCTTTCCTAAGCAGCATGCCAACATTGTCACCATCAAATCTGATACCTAAAGTATATGGGTCTCCTTCTAACAACAGTTCAAGGGTTAAATTGCTAGTCCATTGCTATTCAAATTTTGAATTTATTGGTCATTGATATAATTCATGTTTGAGAGAAAAAAATCCCTCAAGCATTCTTTTGGATTTTTAAAGTTCCACTCATGATCAGTTTATATGACAGAAACTCAGTTTAACTCTTCACAGAAAAGTCATCACTAAATTAGTGTTTAATAGTGTTTAATAGTTTAATTACCCTCATGTTTAATATATACCACTCAGATGCAACAAGGTTTTGATTTACCAACAATCATTATTTTGTCTTTTATTAAGAATTGATTTTTTGGGGGCTGGAAAGATAGCTCATTTTCTCAGGCTTTCACAGAGAGCACACTGGCCAAGCAATGGCCGAGACTCATCCACATGGCTGACACTCACAAAGGATCTACAATCTGAGGTACAGGATCTCAGGATAAGTCCTGAGGGCATTTCACTGACCTTATCAGATCCAAAAGCTACAACTCTTATTGCATAGGTCTTGCTTTATCTTGGTCTTAAACATCCAGAAGAAAAGTATAAAAATGAAATATAAGAAGTAAAGCCATGCTGTTATGTTGAGCTGTAGGGGACTCAGGTCAACAATTTCTGACATTGCCAGTCAGGTGGAATACCCAATACTATTATGGACTACTGGACTCTTTTAGAATATTTTGCTGAGTTAACACACATATGATATTCAAATGACGGAACTAAACAAAAAAGGGATACAGATTAATGTTCATTTTGTATCTGTGTATTCAAAATGGTTAGGACAGATATATAGTTACATTTTCTTAATGAATAGAGGGATTTGTTGTAATAGTGTTTGTAAATAGAATATCATGTCTGCATCTTGTACAGCAAATAACCAGTAGGAAGAGAGTATGCAATGTGTTAATTATTGGAACTGTCCTACCAATTTGATTGGAAACTGTCTCATTGCTATTTGTTTCTCAATAAAATTATGGAAAAAAAAAGATAGCTCAGCAGTCTAAAGCACCTGCTTAAGCAAGCTTAGGCAAGCATGTGGGAACCGGGGTTCAATCCCCAGCACCACATGCTGTGCCAGCCCTGCCTCTAGGTCTATCTGAGCCTGCGTTGGCCACAAAAAACAAAACAAAGCAAAAAAAAAAAAAAATGGTTGATTTTTAATAAGAATGTGTGGGGATTTCTCTTCAAAAAACAGACTGAAGATTATTATTATGATTTTCAGTAGTTCTTATAGTAGGATCAGTCCTGAACTGTATGCTTCAAGGTCTTCCTCAACTTCTTTTACCTGGATACCCAGTAGTTTCCAAGTAGAATTAGAATTAACCTTTAATAGTACTGCCATAGAATTTTGCAGGCATTCGCATGAAGCATTGAACTTACCGTGATGTTTAATTTGGTTGTCAACTTGACTGGAGTGAAAAATGCCCCAAAAGTTGGTTAACCACATTCTGGATGGGAAGACATTTCCAGAGAAGATGGCATGTGGTCGGTGGACGTCATGGGGAAGACCTGCTCTGAACTTGGGGGCATCAGCCGGTAGACTGGGGCCCAGACTGAATGAAAGAGCAGAGAATGGAAGCCTGTGCAAGCTCATCATCCACCCTTGGTGGGTGGGTGCTTTTTTTTGTTTTTTTTTCTTCTTCCTGCTGCTGCTGTTGCCTGTGATCTTTGAACACAGACTTGCACCAAGGGCTCTCCAGCGGAGTCTCAAGCCCCCAGCCTTGAACAGGGGCTGTACACCGGATCTCTCCTTTCCGAGTCCTGGGCTGAGCAGTTCCTATCCTCCCTGGCTTCCCAGCCTGAAAACAGCCATTGTCGGGGTATTTAGGCTCTAACTCTGTAAGCCCCTTATCTTTTTTAACTGTGTAAGCCATCTAATAAACCCCCTCGTATTATATTTAATTGGCTCTATTCCTCTGGAAAACACTAATCCATTTACCTACAGTTAATTATCCCCCAAAAGGGAGCACAATGGACAGTCACGTTTGTAGTGCTAACTTCAGTATGAAGGAGACTAACATTTATTTCAACACTTACTGCGGTAGTGCAGGCACGGTGTTAGAAACGCTCACATATAATGAGGAAGACGTTCAGCAATTTTAGAGACAACATTAAGCAGACTAAATTTTAGTCCTAGAATTAATTTGGTCTTTCACAGAAGTGGTATATTTTCTTTATTCAGCTAAGAAGTATTCAACCTATTTTTATTTATCTTTCTGTCTTGACTACCATGAAGCTCATATTTATAGGTAATGTTCAACTACAAAACCTACTACTCTCAAGCTCTGGAATATTTAATCTTTCCTCCTCTTATATGTAGTTTTTGATCTACATTATCTTTGACATGAGTCATCATATGTCTATTTTGCTACAGTTTGCCTCAAATTCTTTTTTGAAAGCTTTGGATAGAGATTTTGTGGCTAAAATACATTTCTTGATAGTTACCAGATTTCATTCAGTTTAATCTTCTTAGAATTATTTCAACACTGATTATTTTAATTACTGTACATTACCTGATGTTTTTCAATGGTCACTTCATCAAAAATGTTGATATATATACTGTCTTTTATTTTAGATAAGCTTGAGAAGCTATAATCATGTCCTGGTGAGCTGCAAGAAAGAAAACATATATAAAAGCTTATTTGTTCTAAATCAATTTATTTTCCAAGGGCAATATTCATAAAGAACATTAAGAGGACCTCTGTTATTTTTTATTTTAAATTAATTTTATTTTTGCAGTACCAGGGATTGAATGCAGGACCCTGTGCTTGCCAGGCAGGCACTTATTCTACTGCGCTATCTCCCCAGCTATTTTCTTTAATAAAGTGTAAACTTAGAAAGTTATGTTCTTTGAAGACTGGCTGTGGCTTTCCAGTAGAGCCAGCACTGCTTTGTAATTTATGCTGTATCCCTCTTGAGACAAAAATGAAAATATTTAAAGGTCAAGCAGAAAGGCTTTCACTATGGCCATCCATTGCAAACGAATTGTCTGGAGTATATTTCAGTAAGATTGTCCAACTATTTTAAATTCTGCTATTTCAGATGTACCATTAAAATGTCTCTTACTCCATGTTAATACGTATGACTGAGTTTATTCTCTTACCTGTATTTATTTTCTCCAAGTAAAATTTAGAATAACAGCATACATTTAATTTTGCCAGCTATCTGCTGATAGCCTATTTATTTATTTAATTTATTTGGTACAGGGTCTTGCTATATGGCTCAGACTCATATGATCTTCCTGTCTCAGCCTCCTCAGTGCTGGGATTACAGGTGTTTACCACCACAGCTGGTCTCAGTGGCTGGCTAGGTGCGCCTGGGACTCTGGGGCCAGCACAGTATGCAGTACCAGGTATTGAACCCAGGTCTTTGCACTTGCCAGGTAGACACTTAGTCTGCTGAGCTATCTTGCTAGCCCTGGATCTTGCTTTTTGATCCATTCTACCAGTCTGGTTTTTTTTATAAATTAAGACCATTTACATTGATAGTCATAACTGATATGTATTGGCTTATCCTTCTCACAGTATTTTCCTATTGCTGGTTCCCATTTTTTCTCCTCTATTTAATTGCTTGGCTTGCCTGGTGGTCTTTTTCCATAGTGCTCTTGGAATTATGGTCTTTCTTATCACTTTCTTGAATAACTGTTAGAGCCCTTAGGGGAACTAGCTTCCTGGTCAATGTTCTTGATCATGGAAGTATCTTTTGTGACCACTGATTCTGACAAATAGTTTTGAGGGTTCATCAATCTGGGCTGGAGGCTCTTTTATTTTAGGACTTGAACTATTCCAAGCTCTCCTTGACTTGAGCGTTTGTGTAGAGAAGTCTGCTGTAATTCTAATGGTTTTCACTTGTAATTGATTTGTTTCTTTTTTTTAATAATTTTTAGTATTCTGTTTTGTGATGAATTTCTGGAATCTTGCTTCCTACATGCCTTAGAGTAGATTTATTTTGGTCATGTCTATTGGGATTTCTATATACTTCACTTATTTGTATGTTAAATTCTTTATCAGTGTTGTGAAGTTTTCTGCTATTGCGTCTGTAACGAGGTTTTTGTGGAACTTGCACTATCTCATGGATTCCAGTCAATCTTTGCTCTTTTTTGTGCAGTCTTGCAGCTGTTGGATTTAATTTTCATGATCCCTTGCTATTTTTGAGATAACTTTCTTCTCATGATTGCTAGCTACAATCTTGTCTTCTAGATCTTTCATTTTACTTTAGCCTTTGTTCAATCTGTTGTGTATACTTTCTTTTGTGTGTGTGTGTGTGTGTGTGTGTGTGTGTACTTTCAATGGAGTTTTTAATTCCTTGGACATCTGTTTGGATCTGTTTTATGGATTCAATTTCTTTGCTGGAATTCATGGTTTCCATTCTTTTCCTAAGATCCTCTTTTCTTGCCTGTGTCTACTCTAGATTCATTGGATACGTCTTTCATTTTAACCATCATTCTCTTTTTTACATGAGAGATTATTTTTCTATAGCCACTTATAGTTGCTTTTTTCACTTCTGTTACTATCATTTCAGAATGTTCCAGTGTGTGGCTTCAGATTTCTTCTATTTCTGTATGCTCTTGAGTTGTCCCGGGTGGGCTGGAAGTCTGAGATTGCATTTTGCTTTTGCATCTTTTCATTTTGCATTTTCTATTCTTAATTTTGTTTTATTTTCTGTGTTGCTGGTTGTACATTTCTTATTGTAAATAGCTTTATCACTAAGTACTGAGGTCCTAGAAAATGTTTAAACAAGGTGCAGGTGGTTCTTTGTGTCTAACCCAAGAACTGGCCTTCCCAATTTATTAAGGATGAGAACTTGCTGTCTAGTTAGGTCAGCACCCCATGCTTTGGTACTGGACTATGGTGAGGATTGTCATCCCAATCACAGTGTTGTTCTGTGAATGAGAAAAGCTGACTACAACCTGTACGGCAAACCTGAGCATAGCCATACAATTATCATGAACAGTAGCAGCAAGGATGGCCCAGCCACTTGCAAGCTGTGGCAACTATTACTGTGGTACGCTAGGCCACTGGAGCAATCAATCGCTACAGTTATAAGACAAAACCCAGCATATACTAAGAACTTGCATGCAATGAGTTTCCATTTGGTGTATTAATTTTATCCTGTTTGGGGTTATTTAAGAGGGATAGGGAACAAAACAGAGAGATGAATAGGGAGAAATATAGTAGAAGAAAGGATGTAAGGCAAAAGATATAACCCAAGTTTTGTGAAACTGGAGAACACAGGAGAGAAACAATAAAATAAAAACCAAAAGACTATTGAAACAAGCCAGAAAGACAAGAGATAACGTTCACTCACATGAAAGTATCATAAAATCAATACAGACATATGTTAGTTGACACATTGTGTCTACTTGGCTGAGTCAGCCCCGGCAGTTCCCAGCGGGGGGCCTCGCCCGCAGGTGGGCAGGGCTCAGGAATTGAGACGCGCAGGAAGCCGCCCTGCCCGACGACGTCCTGCTGCCCGCCCCGCTTCCGCGGAGAAGTCCCAGTCCTCGGAGGAGCTTGATCTCAGCAGCCGCACGTAGAAGGAAGAGAGAGGCTTGATGGACGCCGCAGCTGAGGCTCCTCCTCCGCTCTTCTTTGTGTTCTCTCAGTGAACTGCTGTCATTTGCCTTGGAGCCCGCGGAATCTCCAGTAACTGTGAGCTAAATAAACCTTTCCTTCCTTCATTTTGAGTGGTGGGTATTTGTCCCAGCAACGAGTAAAAAGTAACTAAGACAAGACAGTTGAGTGAAAAGCAGAAGATGAATAGAATAAAACAAAAATAAAGGTAAGAAGCACTAATGGTCAAAAACCAAGCAGCAAAGAACAAAAACACCCCCACAAGACTGAAAAGGGAAACCACTCAAATGACCAAACAAAGAAGCACAGTAGAATTCCTCTGGCATGCACAGTTCTGTTAGTGTCCAACATAGATCCCAAACTACGAGGTGCAACCCTGGGGAGTCCGCAGTGGGACCTTCGCTATGGGGCGATCTTGGCCTCGGTGCGGACACTGGGCCCAGTGTTGGGCTGGAAATGATGTCCGTGTCTCCTTACCGTGTTTGTCTTTGCAGCACGGTCCCAATGGCTGTTGTGCCCTTGGTGAGGGAGAGCCTGGGGCTGCTCCGGTGGACAGCTGGCTCCTCTCAGACCTCACCCAGCTTCCTAAGTTTCACACAACTAGCTCTTAACAGCTGGCCCCGGGGCAGGAGAAGTGCCCTTGTCCCCCTGCATGCCCAGGCAGCTTCCTTCTTGTGCCTCTGGGCCCCGGCAGCCACATGAGCGAGTCTGGGCGGCCCCAGCTCCAACAGTTCAGCAGAATTTCCCCAGCCTGTTTCCCAGATGGCAGCAGTCCTCTGCGACTGGCTGGGCTTGCCTTCTCCCACCATTGGCAGTGAAGCAGTCCGGGACTGTTCCCCGATGCATGAAGTTAAAGTGGCAGCCTCCTGCCCACCTCTGCTCTGCACGCCTGTGTACTAAAAACAGTGCCAGTTCACCTCACTCGCCAACCGCTGGCTCTGTGGGGCTCTGAGGAAACTGTCACTGTGCTGGCGGCTCCTCCAGGTGTACCAGGCTGCTCTGCCGGGCACACCGGGCCGCCCTGCCATGGTGCACTGCGCTCTACATCCTGGGCTTAGGCTTTGGATTGCACTTCTAGTTTACTGAGGCATATTGTTAGTTTATTTATTTGAGTTCACTGTTTTTCTTTTTCTTTTATGTATTTGATACAAGGTCTCACTACACAATTCAGACTCATAGTGATTCTCCTGCCTCAGCCTCCCCGGTGCTGGGATTGCAGGCATGTACCACTGTGCCCATTTTCTGAGCCAGCACGACGTTCCCCGGGGTTCCAGAGCCGGCACAACGTGCAGTGCCAGGGATTGAACTCAGGTCCACGCGCTTGCCAGGCAGGGGCTTAGACCGCTGAGCTCTCTCCTCAGCCCAGCTCACTGTCTTTCTAATGTAAGCTCTCACAGCAGTAAGTTTCCCTTTCAGAACTGCTTTCAGTAAGCCCCATGTGTTCTGATGCACTATGCTGACATTATTGTTTGATTCTAGCAATTTCAAATGTTCTTTCTTGCTTTCTTCTATTGCTCATCATGTTACAGGAGTGTGTCATTTAATGTCAAGTTGTAAAACTGGGGTGGTTCCTTTTGTAATCTAGTATCAGCGTGCTATGAACTGGTGGTGCACAGTGGTACCTCTGTCCCCAAACGCAGTTCTTTCCACAGTTCTGGTCACAAACTGAATTGGACAGAATCAAATAGATTTTCCCCCAAAGATCAACAGTGAACCTGTATCACATTCAATAATTAGGTTCAGTGTCGGCCTTCTGGGGAAGATTGCTTTGGCTCTTGTCTAGTTCGGTTTGCAGCCAGAATCCTGGGAAGAATTAAGTTCATGAACCAAGGTGCTCCTGTACTTGTGATGATTTCAATTCTTTTGTAGTTTTTTAAGCAAGCTTTGTGGACTAGTATGTGTTTATTTTGGAAGAAAGTTCTTTATAATTCCAAAGATAATGTATATTCTGTTGTAATAGGATAGCACACTTTGTATATATTTATTTTTTGTTTTTAACTTATTGTAAGAGAATAGAAAAATAATAGGTAACACATT